GCAAAAACAAAAGTCAGTACCATTTTCCCATTTTTTGGTTGTTGTTATTATGTGCCGTCAAGTGGCCTGCAATTTATAATGACCCTATGCACGACAGCCCTAAACACTGCTCTATCCTGTGCCAATCTTATTGTCTAAGACACACCTACCCCCATTACCCAAGTCACTGAATCAATCTACCTCACCGAGGGTCTCCCTCTCCTGCGCTGACCCTCCACCCCTTCAAGCATGATATCCCTCTCCAAGGACTGATCCCTCGTTGCAATATATCCAAAGTATGTCAGACAGAACTTCAGAATCCTTGTCTCCAAGGACCAGCCTATCTTCACTCTCTCTGGGACTAACTTGTTTGTTCTCCTAGCAGTCCATGGTTTATTGAATACTCTTCTCCAACATCACAGCTCAAAGACATCAATTCTCCTTCTCCCATCCCTAATCATTTTCCAGCTCTCAGATGCATAGCAAGTAATTGCAAAGACCACAGCCTATATCAGGCACATCATAGTCTCCAGATTGATATCATTGCTCTTCAGTACTTTGGAGAGGTCTCTGATGGCAGACTTTACCAGTGCAATTCATCTTTTGATTTCCTGGCTGCTGATACCAAAAGTGTTGATTATGGAGCCAAGGAAACTGAAGCTGTTGACAATCTCAATCTCTTCACCATCCATCGTGATGTTGCTAATTGGCCTAGTGGTGATAATCTTTTTCTCAATATTTAGCTTCAATCCATATTGAAGGCTGCAGTCCTTGACCCTCTGCAGCAAGTGCTTCAGCTTCTCCTCAGTTTCAGCAAGCAGGGTTATGTCATCTGTATAACACAGATTATTGATGAGTCTACCTCCAATCCTGATGCCACATTTCTCCTCATAGAGCCCAGTCTTCCAGATAATCTGCTCTGCATATAGATTGAAAAGATATGTAGATAGGTCACATCCTTAGCATGCACCCTTCCCAATTTTGAACCATGCAGTATTTCCTTGCTCTGTTCTGATGACTATGATCAATGTTGTTGTTAGGTGCCGTCCAGTCGAGTATGACTCATAGCACCCTAGGAACAAACAATCCTGTTCTATCTGTGCCACCTTCATACTTCCTGACACACAAGAGCCCATTGCAGTGGTCACTGTGTCAGTCTACCTGATTGAGGGTCTTCCTCTCCTTCACCAACCCTTACCCTTCCCAACATCATGTCCTCCTCCAAGGAATAACCCCTCCTAGCAACATGTGAGCCAAACCTTCAAGTATGTGAGCCAAACCGTCATTGTTCCTGCCTCCAAAGAGCACTCCAGCTGCACCCTCTCCAACACTTACCTCTTTGTTCTCTTGTCTGTCCATGGAATGTTCAGTGCTTCTCTCCAACTCTGCAGCTCAAAGGTGTCAATTCTTTTTCTGTTATCCTTATTCATTGTTCAGCATTCAGATGCATAGCAGATACTCGGAAAGAACTTTGCCTGAATCACAAGCACGTTAGTCCACAAACTGACACCATTACTCCTCAATAATTTAGAGAGGTCTCTGACTGCAACTTTTCCCAGTGCAATGTGCCTCCTTATTTCCTGACTGCTGGTACTAAGAGTGTTAATTATGGATCCAAGAAAAATGAAACTCTTGACAGTTTCAATCTCCTCTCCATCCATCATAACTCTGCCTATTGGTCCTGTGGTAAGAATCTTTGTTTTCTTGATATTGAGATGCAATGTGTACTGAAGGCTGCATTCCTTGATCTTCTGCAACACTGACTGCTTCAAACTCTCCTCGCTTTCATCAAGCAACGTTGTGTCATCTATGTTGTTGTTGCTGTTATGTGCCGTTGAGTCGTTTCCGACTCATAGCGACCCGATGCACAACAGCCCTAAACCCTGCTCTATCCTGCGCCAACCGCACCGCCACTGACACACCCATCCAGATTATCCCAGTCACCAAATCAATCCATCTCATAGACAGTCTTCCCCTCCTGCGCTGTCCCTCCACCC